CGAATTTATTTAACAAAGGGAGCTTAACACCTTTTCAACGGGATATTTTCTAAAAAGTTAATTTTTAAAAATGTACAGTTTATTTTTCTTTGATTTTTGGACACGTTAAACTTTCATCCTTGCGACTGCTTTTACAGAAAGAATTTTGGAAAAATGATATTTTGTATTTTTTAAAAAAATTTTTAGATGAAGCTTCCGAGTACACTTCTCACATCTCACATCTTTAAAAATGTGATTTTGGCAACAATTTTCTTGTCTTATTGTTGTTGATAGATTTTTGATGAAATCGCATCATTTTGAATAGTTTCATTCTTTTAGAAATATGGGTTTGGCAACAATTTTTCATCGTATTTCTTATGTCACTGTTTTAAGAGATTGGCATATTTCATTGTCATTTATATATATATATATACATATAATACATTTTTATTGAGTTTTTTTTTTGATAAAGTTGTTCTTTAGAGTAAAATTCTGCGCGGAATTTTATTTTTTTTTGAGTTGCTTTTATGTTATTTTTTGCTTATTTCACTGTTTGTAAGATATGAAAAGTTTGCATGATTTTTTTTTCCTTCAACGGAAAGTTGGTTAATTTTTATTAGGGTAATTAATATTTGTATTAAGGGATATAGCTTATTTCATTGTAATTTTTTTTATCTTGAAATATAAGATAAAATATCATTAATTATACTTTGCTTTTCAGAATTTTTTGTTTTTGTATTCTTTTATGTTATTTATTGCTCATCACTGTTTTTAAGATATGAAAAGTTTTGAGTGATTTTTTAGGAAACAAAGTTCTTAACCTCCTTTATATCATTTGAGTTCTAAAGATTTTGCAAAGCGAAGTTGGTTAATTTATTTGTTAGGATAATTAATCTTTGTATTAAGGAATATTGCTTATTTCATTGTAATTTTGTTATACGTAATAACTTTTTTTATGAAGTTGTTCTGCAGAGTAAAATTCTACGTAGTTTTTAAATTTAATGTTTGGTGTTTCCCTTGAGCCATTTTTCCCGGTACATTTAAAAGTCAGACGAAGGCTGGCACCGAAGCTGATAGTATTAAATAAAATAAAATAAGTACGTACTTCGTCAAGTTGAATTTTTTTTTCCGATAGTAGTGAGGTTATTGAGCATTGAAATTTTCTTCGCCAACCACTCAATAAATACGAAGAGGGAATGTGTAGAGTGTAGATGATACATAACTCGTGCTTTCTAAACACATGGAAAATGACCATTTAATGTTAATTAATTAACTAGGTGCGCAGAAGGGTTATTTTGAGTAGTGCACAACGTCTGTGTGTGTAGTCGGTAAACTACATGACCTAGATTAAACTTCCTCACAGCGTGAATTCCCACGGCTTTTAGAACTCGAACTTCTTTATGTGACACTGTACCTAACAATTGATGGATGGGCTGGAGAGGAAAGGAGGAGGCTCCAATGCCCATGGTCCCTGTCCTGTGTAGCATTCAAGGTACATTTATTTCACATTCTTTTGCATTAAAAAAAAAGAGTTATGTGTCGTCGGCTAGTCGGCGCCCCTCTATCGGTCAGCACCCTCCAGCAAAGAAGCAGCTTCCGCCGGCCCATTTCATTACGTACACTTCCAAAAATTATCCGTGGCCTCCGCCGTCTTCAGTTTCGTTCTAAACGATAGTCAGAAACTTAAACGGCAGCTATCCAGCTGACAGAAAAATTTCTTACGCGTCGATCTCTATAATTAATGATCGAGACGATGACACCAGACTTGCTCTCTGTCGAGTAGAGCGCAAAGAAAACGACCCGTTCTTCCACGTCGACGGTATCCAGATTAGGGCCCTTAGACATAAAATAATTTAAAAGCTATAAAATCAACTATTAAACAGTAGCGTAGCTAGGGTGGGGAAAGGGGGACATCTGTCCCCGGGCGCAGCATTCAAGGGGCTCCAAATTGATGCTACGAAATTTTTTAATGAAATGTTTTCCATTCTTGGCACACAGAAAAGGGCGCAAATTCTTCAGTTGTGCCCGGGCGCTGGAAACTCTAGCTACGCCCCCTGCTATTAAATGAACAATTACCGTAATTTCCGGAAGAAAGGCCGCATCAGCGTAAAAGCCGCACTCGAGAAAAATGGCAGGGAAAAACTTAAAATTACACAGAAACGCCGCAACAGATTAAATTACGCGTGACATCGTCGTGGGCCGTATAGATGCAAAATCTCAATATGTGTCCTGATATATGACATATCAGTTAAGAAAAATGCATGAAATGAAACCATAACTCAAAAATAAAGGTAAGAAATGTTGAAAATATATTTACGTTCACGAATATACTTATATTTACCCACTAAAGAAGTCCATATTTGTAATACTCAGACTATATTATAAAAAATGTTGCAACAACGAAATATTAAATTTGGATGACAAAAGGAAATTTTAAATTTTACTCACAAAAGGAATTACAGCAACCTATACATCATATGAAGCCATCAAAATCTGATTCTTCACTATCTGAATTAAAAAGATTTAGTAAAATCCTGATCTAAATCCAAATCGTCACATTCATCCTCTTGGTTTACAGTCTCTTTATCTAAGGATATAATTTCAGCTTCTTTGAACCCTGCTATTATTGACGATGTTTTTACAGATTCCCACGCACTTGCTACCCACTTTGCAACTTCTTCATAAGATGCTTTACGCATTTTAAAGCTTTTGGTATACGTATGCAATCCTTCACTCATCCAACACTCCGACCGCTTTCGAACTTCAGCTTTGAAGGATTTATTACCTGACAAATCTAATGGTTGTAAGATTTTTGTCAAACCACCAGGAATTATTGCTACGGTCGTAGACAATTTTTGACATCTGGTTTTCACTGACAAGTAAATGAGCACGCATGAAATCCATTATCAATAACCCTTTTGGTTGGAAAAAAGATCCCTTACAACACTGCCAAACTTTTTGTAGCCACTCATGCATGATTGTTTCGCACATCCAGCCGTTCTCGTTTGCACAAATAATTACGTCATTAGGAAAATCTCCCTTTGGAATAGTTTTTCATTTAAAAATGATCATCGGTTTTAGCTTGTCACCGTTTGCGGCACAAACTAACACACATATAAATGACGTTCTTTCATGCCCCGTCGTAAGCACAGATACAATTTTTGCACCAGTTTCATCAACAGTTATGTTTGCAGGAGAGTCGAAAGCTAACGGCGTTTCATCCATATTTGTTATCTATGACCGAAGAAGTTATTTTTTTGTCAATAATATCTGTGACATATTTTACAAAAGATGCTTTTTTATCTTACCAGTCCATTGGTAATTGTTGCTCGACTGTTGTTGTAGTACGCACAGAAATATTTTTTCTTTTCATAAATCTGCTACACCAGGAAGGCCCTCCTTTGAAATCATTTATGTTCATTTGTTTTGCTATAAATTTTGCTTGTAAGCGAATTTTTACAGACGAAATTGCCGTTCCCTTTCCTCGTTGCTCCTTTATCCAGTTTGCAAGGTCGTCCTCTAGATTCGGCCACCTTACAGTACCACTTCTTTTGGCTCGTTTCTATTGTGGCATATTTTTAAGTTCTTCTTTTTCAGTTCTCCAACGTCGAATGCATCTCTCGTCCACTTCAAACTCTCGAGCTGCTGCTCTATTTCCAATTTGTTCAGCACGTGAAATTACATTAAGCTTAAAACCAGCAGTATAGCTTCTGTGCCGTTTAGGTGCAATTTTCAAAATTTTTCCGCTCCCTTCTTACTTAAAAACTATCCAACAAGTACTTGTACCCAAACTGATGGGATCTGTATCTAGCAGAATGCCAAGAAAAATCGATTCATGCTAAAGGGAAAATACGTCAGAGTTCGTTATTGCGAGGCAGGCGGAGTCGTGTCCGCCTTTGAAAAAAATTTCAGAAAAGGCAGGGGTGGGGAGAGGATGGGTCCTGGAAGATTCATCGAATAGCAGAGGAGAGAGACTATTCAAACTGATGAGAATGCTGATTTGAAAGGGGGAAGAATGTTATTGTTCTGAGATCCCGTTTATGGTGAATAAGGCATGTAGGTCCGTTCAAGGGAAAGAATGTAAACAAAATAACGTTCTCAAAAAGCAAATGAGTGGTCTTTTGTGGGGGAACAACACCAGTCTATGTACAATGACAAGACCATCCAAACTATGTACAGTGACAAGGTTTTTCAAACTATGTACAATGATCATCATAGGAAATATATTATTTTTAGTGCACCTAAGCCGCATGGGTAGAAACGTCGCACCCGCTGAAAATTTAAGTTTTAAACACTTGTTTCTTCCGGAAATTACGGTAATTATATAATACTGGTTATTACAAATTTTCGGTGTAAAATGCTTGTATCTGGGCTGATTGTCCGCATGCGCTAACGTAGGTGCACCGTCGATGCGATTAGCCACTGCGCCTTTCTATATACTTTTCCTCCGCATACGAGAAAGACTTAGCGGGTGCAAAACAAGACATCTGTCTTCATGTTTGTCTTTGTAACATGTAACTCATTTTAGGTTATTCCGTCATAAGTTGCTGTGCGCAAAGGTGTATCAGATATTGGTCAGAAATCCAGCAGAAAATAGCCTGACCTATAATAGCATATCTGTAGGTGTAAATAGTAGTTTAGACAATAAAATAAGTTCAAAGTTGGGGCAGTATGAGTATGCGTAGAAAATAAAAATGCATACGTTAGCTATCGGTAATTCGTGATTCCATGGAAATAGCCCTGTAATATGTATTGAAGGTGTGGTAATACAATTTCTATTATGGTAGTACAATAATTGAGACAGATCGTTAATAATCATAACAATAGAATAAAATTAATATTATTTTGTCTTTTGTTGCTATGGGTTACCAGACTGGCAGCGTTGAGTTGTAGTAGGCAAGTCGCCACAGTACTCCCCCTCCAGTGCTAACGATACCTTACAAATACTTTGGGTTGATGTAAGGCTTCTGTAGTATATAGGAGCCTTAGGTTGATGCAAACTCGACGACCGGAGCGTGTTCTTATCGTAGCATCTGATAAGTCGGAAGTCGTGGTTTCTGTCGAAGGCTTGAATCTTGAGACGGAAGTTGCGATGGTGAAGACGCATTCGCTCCAGTGGCTTCTGGTGTCCAGCTAAATGCCGGCATAAGACGGTCGATACTAACGACAGTTTCTTTTTCGTTGACCAAAATTTTAAATGTTTTTTCGTTTCGAGCTAGCACTTGATGGGGCCCTGAATACTGTGGCGCGAGAGAAGGCTTTAAAGCATCACATCTGAGAAAAATATGAGATGAGTTTTTAAGTTCCTTATGCACAAACACAGTTTGTTTGCAATGAGCGCTGGCAGGAACTGGTCGCAATTTTGACATACAGTTTCTAAGCTGATGAACGAATGTAACAGGATCTACGTTGCAGGTAGATGGATTGAATGAATGTACGAAATCCCCAGGCAAACGGAGATTAATACCATATGCCAGTTTGGCAGAAGAGGCATTCAGATCCTCTTTTAACGCTGATCGAAGACTTAGAAGTACAGTAGGTAACGCATCAGTCCCCTGTAATGCAGTGTGGCATCGAATTGATTGTTTTAAGGAGCGATGAAATCTCTCGACAATTCCATTGGAACTTGGATGGTAGGGGCTGGTTCTCACTTTGTAAGTACCCAAATACTTAGTTAGTGACATGAAGAGTTGGGACTCGAACTACAATAATTGAGACAGATAGAACAATAAAATAGAATAAATATTATTTTGACTATTGTTGCTATGGGTTACCAGACTGGCAGCGTTGAGTTGTAGTAGGCAAGCCGCCACAAAGGTTTTTACTTTCCGTTTCTGCATTCTCATATCATAACGATTTATTTTCGTAGCAAAAATGATTTTACGCATATTGTTTGATGAAATAATATATTTATTTTTTAGATGCATAGGGTTAAAAAAGGAAAATCAGTGTTAAGACAAAATATACTCATGTAAGGTCTCATATGAATAAACGTTTTTATATGTTTTTTTGAGTCCTGTGGTTGTTATCTCTGAAGGACAAAAGAAATGCAGGGATAAGGTTCGGAGAACAGTCTTAACGCCAAAACAGGGAGAAACAGCTTATTATGGTAGATCACGTTATGGTTGTCATCCTGTTTACTACTAAGAAGAATTTCCCGACTCACCTGCAAATGTATGGTGTGGACATTCCCTGGGTCAAGCAGGTCCCTTATCTTGGGGTGATCCTCAGTAAATCTCTTACATGGAACCCACACGTTACGGAAGTTTCGAGCTAGTAAAGCTTCACTCTTCCCCTTAATTGCTCGAAACAGTGTTCTATCTATTGATAATAAGTTGCTCATTTACAAAACCATGTTGCGTCCAATTCTTAGTTATGCATGCCCCGTCTGGGCATACTCGTGCAAAAGTTTGAGAAGGCAGTTACAAGCTGCCCAAAACGGGGTATTGCGTATGATATGTAATGCCCCTTGGTACATTCGAAATAGCCAAATTCGTAAAGAGTTAAGAATAGAGGATCTTTGTGATTTTTATTGCCGCCTATCTAGGGCATTTTATGATAAACAGGAACTTCTGGACAATCCTGTGGTTGTTAACTATTGTTATGATACTAGGGACCCCAATTTCAGTAAACGCCCAAGGGCGATCCTAAATGTTAGTATATGTAATTTTGTATATGTGTTATGCAAATTGTTGCTCAGATTCTTTATTGTATATTGTTCTTTTTTCCTCCTGATTGCATTTTGTTTTTACTAGTGGCACTAAGGCGTCGCACTTCGTATTTTGTTTCTCTTGTGTGTACATGTATTCTTCTGTGAAATAGTTGTTAAAAAAAATAGTTAATTATGTATGGACTAGTAATTAGGTACTTAAGGTAAAAAATATGTATTTAACTATTAGTAATTATGAATTCAAACTCTTACTCATTTAATTATTTAGCACATTCAGTTATATTTCTCATAATTCGAAACTTTTATCATGTTATTCGGTGAGGGGTAGGGCTATGGCGCCCAGGCACCCTGGTGGTTAAGCACTGCATTTCAATCCTGATTGTCATCCAAGGAGGTTAGAATGAGGTTAGAAATTCTAACCTCCTTGTTGTCATCCGATGACGTACTTCTTCTAGGAGGACAGCGTGATACTTTTTCCCTGCTGAGGGATTATCCGTAGCAGCAGATGGGGATACGTATTCGAAAAATATTGTTATGATTGATGTTTGCTTATCAAGCAAAGAGTATTAAATTAGAAATAACACATAATTGAATAAAATATTGATAATATATGTAAAAATAAGTGTCTTGAACCTGTAAATATTTATTTAATGCTTTATTTTCTGTTTTCATTTGCTTTGTTATGTTTTCGTTTTATATCGGTACTTTTGTATTTCATATAAAAAAAAAAAAAAAAAACAGCAGCATAACTGACCTGCTGAGAAAATACTTCATCTACTTCAGATAAAATTATGGAAATCTGTGGAATGCTAACTGGTTATGTAAATGTGCTTTCAGGATAATGAAAAATGTATTGTTTCATTTGTTACATCCTGAAATTCCTTGGAAATTAAGTATTTAAAATGAGAAAAGTTGTGTTTAAGAGAAATGAAAGGCACTTAATTAGGAAATCTGTTAATCAGATATTACCTTCAACTTTTCTTGCATGTCAGTTTGAAGTAAGATGCACATGAAATTGACAGCCACTTATGATGAGGAATTTATGTATATCATGTACTGTATGCTTCTGATACATTTCATAATAGAATGCCATCATAAAATACATATTCCAAAAGATTTCTCCTAAAATTATACTATACAGACTGACATTTTTTTTTATACTGAAATCTTGTGTTTATCACATCATTTCCCTGAAATGTGCATGCATCTGCCCATTGCAAATATTGCATTTCACGTAATATGATGTATTGAAGTAAATTATGTGAACAGGACTATGTGTAACTGTGGAGAAAGAAATCACTTGAATGTGATGAATGCCATAAATTATTTTTGCATATATGTACTTTAAAAGTGCATATGGGAAGCGACACTGATATAAGATCTTGTGCATGATATATCTAATAGGATATTTGCATTCCTTAAGCCTGCTTAGGGAAACATACCCATACTGGGGAAAGGCCATACAGTTTTGGTATATTTTATAGTTTGTTAAATGTTGAGGTAGCTTAAAAGAACATACATCTACCCATACTGTGAAATGCCTCACAAGTGTCATGAGTGTAATAAGTTCTTTGCTCAAAAAATTCGTTTAAACAGACATATGGTAACTCATACTGGTATGAAACCCTATCAATGTGGCACATGTAATATGGCATTTGCATTCCAAAGTCGCTTACTTAGTCATATGCGCGTTCACACTGGTGAGAAACCACATAGCTGTGATGTATGTCAGAAGTCATTTGCACGCAAAGGTCATGTAAATGCACATATGTTTACTCATACTGGTGAAAAGCCACATAAGTGCGATGTGTGTGAGCGGTCTTTTATTTTCAAAGCTAAATTGCAAAAACACATGTGTGCTGGTGAAAAACCATATAATTGTGATGTATGTAACAAATCATTTACGCACAAAGGTGTCTTAAACAAACATATGTTTATCCATACTGGTGGACGACCATATAAGTGTGATATATGTAATGCATCATTTTCATTAAAGTCGAGTTTAAAGTTGCATAAAAAGAGCATCCATACTGATATAAGACCTCATAAATGTGATTTATGCAGTATGTCTTTTATTCGGAAAGGTACTTTAATTCAGCACATGCGTATCCACAGTAGTGAAAAGCCATACAGTTGTGATACGTGTTTCAAGTCATTTGCACGTAAAAGTGATTTAAATAAACACTTGCTGATACATACTCATGACAAACCGTTAAAGTGTAGCTTTTGTAGTAAATCATTCAAACGTCATGATTCTTTAAAAAATCACTTGCGTACGCATACTGGTGAAAAGCCACATACGTGTGACATTTGTACCATGTCGTTTATAACCAAAACTAATTTAAATGTACATATGCTTACACATACTGGTGAGAAATCATATAAATGTGAACTATGTAGCAAATGTTTTGCAACTAAAAGTAAACTAAACATCCACATGCGTACCCACACTGGTGAAAAACCATACATATGTAATACGTGTGGCAGGGCATTTGCACAGAGATCTAGCCTAAGAAATCATATATATACTCATACTGGTGAGAAAACTCCAAAGTATAAAATATGAAATGAATTATATTTCTAAAAAAATAACTTAATGATGAGTATGATGACTTGCATTGAGGAGAAGTAATTTGAATGTAATAAATGTAGCAAAAGTGTTTTCCTTATGCTCATACTAGTAAGTATATGGAAAAGTAACTTAAATCTGAATTTGCTCTTGCATACTACTAAAATTCATAAAATTTGATGTATGTATTAAATCTTTTGCACTTGAAGGTTCCTTAGCAAAACACATGTACCAACATTGGTGAGAAACTACATGAATATTATATCATTTGCATGAAAAGGTACTTCAGTTCAGTAATTTCTTTATCTACACCACTATGGAAATGTCGCAAAAAAAGTATCTGTAAGGCAATAAATATGCTGTCACTGAATACTGTTTATGTGGCAACCTATATGAGAGATAGCATTCCTGCAAATAACTTTTCACTTCTATAGATATTTTCACCTGTATGACTGCAGGTTATGGTCCCTGTTAAGGAAATTTCTGCATTTGAACATTGTAGTGGATTGCATACTGCAATTTCTGTTTTGTCTTCTGAAAATCTAACTTGGCTTTTTGCATATCTAGAGTATAATAGGGCTCACGTAAAGGTAAAGTGTGTGCTCGTACATGTGCCTGTTTTTTTCTTCTTATTTCAGGTTTTTGGTGCTGATGTTTTATATGATGGGGAATTGGTGCTATTTTTTTGTCTTTTTGAGTCAGAATGGTGTCCATGAAGAGAACAACAGTGACAAAAGCTGAAAAGTGTCTTATATGGGAATAAAAACTAGAAAATGTGGAACTGAATGCATCGTGGAGTATAAATGATAATTTACGCAAATAATTTTTTCACTGTGAAATGGTCAAGAATTTCAGGAATGCTTCTCAAGTTGCAATGAGTTCATGACTTTTCTGTGGAGGTGCAGATAATCAGAAAGAGAACAACTTGTGTATAACCCCATTTTTTTTTGGCAACGATAAATATCCCCAAAACTCTCGCCAATCTGTAACACTGCGCTATGGGAACTTGATGCAAGCACCAAAATTTCGTGCAATAGTTAAGCACTCAGATTTTCTTTTTATTATTATTATTAGATTTGCAGTGTTTTAAAATCTGAAAGTAACAGTGTTGCATTTTATCAGTGTTTAAAATAAGTAATTTGAATTTTTTTATGTGTTAAATAAAGAAATTTCATATTTCTATTTTTTTATAAAATGTTATTCAGATTATTTTTACTTTCTCACTTTGAAAGGGAAGGTGGAATTCCATTCTGCTTATTGAAATTTTTAGAAAAGTTTTTTAATCCAAAGGGGCTTTCTTCCTGAGGGACTATTGTTTTGAAACCTTTAAAAGGACATTTTGTGTTGAAACCTTTAAAAGGCTGTATCACTTTTCAAATTGTTGTCACCAAATATTATCACCCTGTATTATATTTGAAGGAATTAAATAATGAAGAATCTGCATAAATGTATGTATGTTTCTCCCATTATGATAAAACAGTACCTAGTATCAAATTGTGATTGTGATAAAACAGTACCTAGTATCAAATTTTGAATAACGTAAACCTACTGCGAATATGTGCATCTGGAAGTCCAAATTTGAAATTTGGAATTTGTTTTATTATCATTTTCGGTACTTTTCCGTTTTGCCGGCGCAAGCGATAAAGTCGCCAATAATGGTACAATCGATGCCAAACGGAATATTCTCGCTGGTAACCTTTTACGCCTCATTTTCAAAACAAGTTGCAGCTTTTTCTTATCAGATTGATTGTTTCTTTCAATATTGGCATATAATTGCATAGAATTTTTATCAGATAGTTCAGTGTTATGTCTAAGGCCATTTTCGGTAATTAAGTCGATTAGGATGCAATCACAGCGCTTACCCGAAGCCGAAAATATAGAAAAGGTAAAGTCAAGGGTTAAATTCATCAATTCTAATGAGAATGCATTAGCGAAGTAAAGCACTGCAGTTTTACAAAATTTCTGAGTAAGCTATTCGTACGAATTCAAATATTTCTTGCATTTAAACTTGTGTTCCAAATTAAGATTTAACTTGAAATTAATGTAGATAATTACTGAGAGCATTAGATTTTTGTAGAATAGTTTGCGTAAGATGAGATCGCTTGGGGTCATGTGACATGAACCGGTGAATCAGGATGTTGAACCATGAAAGCATAGTAAATTCTTAAATTAGTGTCTTTTTATAAATGTATTGGCTTTTTATAAAATTTTAAGCGATATTAAAATGTTTATGCCTTCAAAATAAAAAATTCTTAGAACTGAAATTTTTTAAATATTTTTTATGTGTATACTGTATGTTGTCGCCAATAAAGTCTGCTTGGCGAGATGTGCGCCGGCGAAATGGAAAAGTACCTCATTTTCATATTTTGTAAAACTGTAATGAATTTCTGATTAACAAACTCAAGGATTTCAAAGTTAGTAATGGCAACGTTGTACAGAAAAAACATTTTTATCTCCTGTGCGTGAGACTGTATCGGAAATTCTAAAGAGATGCTCAGTTGAAAATTATTATGCGATATTGCTCTTGAACTGAATTTTATGGTTTAAGTGCGAAGAACGTGATATTTAATAAATAAAGGTAACACACAAAATGTTAAAAAATACCCCTTTGGACGTAATTTAAAATCTGAAACCTTTCAGTTTTTTTTTTTTTTTTTTTTTTTTTCAGTTTGTTGCTTTGAGAGTGTTGGAGAAATTATTCAGTGAGTAATGAATTATTTAATTTAAATTCTTGAAATTATCTAATCTTATGTAGTAATCAATGTTGTGGGTAAAATTTCTATTCAATTTAATTCACTTTAATTTTTATACTCTCCCAGTTTTATGACAAACACAAATTTCATGATATAAAAAGCAAAATTATTTTTGAAGAACACAATTAATTTCAGTATATTTTATCCTTGAGAAAACACACACATGCACGAAAAAAAAAAAAAAAAGAAAACCACTTACTCCATCACAGAATTATTTCCTTAATGTATTTCTTAATTATTTAGTAATCTTATGCATGTTAAGAATTTATTAATAAGATTTTCACAATACTAATATAATGCTAAATAGTGGTTAATAATACTTTTGAGTCACAAAGCAAAAGTCACCATTCAGTTTTAGGAAAAATTTTATAACTGTGTCAAATCTTTTTGCTGCACATTGTTTTAAGAACATGTATTCTGCAGGCTATAATGCAAAGTTTTCATTTCTGTTATATCGGGGTAGTTGTGTTTTAATATGTTGCCATGTACATTCAATTTTATTGGTATGTGTTCCTGTATTTTCTTCTACAACTGTAATGCTATGGTTTACAGTTAAATTGTCAAAGCCCAGAACGTCTAAAAAGTAAGCATATGTAACTATCAACAATTAATTGATAATTCTAAGTTAGTTTGTAAATGTAATTAAACAATAAGTAAAGATTTATTTAAGGATATTTTGAATCTAGCCAAAAATATTTGCTGAATCCGTTGATAGATTGCAACACATGTTTGTCTTCTGTTGCCCTGGTGGACTAAAAGCACATAAATCTGTACATGTGATTAGAAAGTACATTTTTTATATTATGTAAATATTACAAACTCCAGAATTTTAATAAAAGAAGAAATCAATATATGATATGTATGTATTCAATGGAAGAAATATATGGAATTACGAAATCTGCAGCAATTAAATAATTTTGTTTTGTAATGCAAATAAAAGTATCTTTCAACAGATTTTTTTTTTTATGGGATATAATACGCTAAGAAAGAAGCTGAGTAATATTTTTACATAAATGTCTGTCATGCATCAACTATTGCATTTTCTACATTTTCTTATGAAGATTGCACTAGATGTCAATGTTTTCAGGTAAATCAGGCCATCCAAAATGATACAACAGTCAGTTTATGACAAGTGCTTAAGAGGCTTCTGATGCATTTTGCCACTGTTACCAAATATCAGGAAAGATGTGGTATTAGAAATATGTTGTTTCAAAAAATGCTTAAGTAATAATTTGTTCCATTTTAATTAGAACTTCTCTCCATACATATTCCATTAACTTTTTTAACTTGATTATCTCAGGGTAAACATCACTCACTATACCTGGCTATAAATTTTTAAATCATTAGTATTAGCTGAATTTCAGTGCCAATTGACAAAATTGCATTTTAATCTATTATATTAAAATCTGTGCATGTCTGTTTGTGTTTTTGTAACACTATCTCCTCGAGAACGGCTGAAGTTTCAACACTTTCTATATTCTTTATTTGTTTGCGAATAATAATTATTTTTAAAGAATTCTTTAATTTCTTTTTACCTTCTTATAATTTTAAGATGCTTAGTATAACATCTGAATAATGATAGTAAAAAAAAATATGTGTTTTATGATTTCTGCCAAAGTTAATTAACTTAATGTGATGTTTAAGATTGCTTTTTTAAAAGGAACTCATAGTTAAAAATTAAGGAGATTTCAAAATTTCAAGCTTCTTTTATAGTGAAATTTACATCTTTTTTAAAAAGAAGGTTATTTTCTGAAAAATGTTTTACTTTTTAATTACCAGTATATGCTTGAAAAAATATACAAACACTTTTTTTAAGCAAATTTAAATGTTCAGCTACATAAAAGCTTTGTGACTGAATATCTTTATTTCAGGGTGAAGAGAAGCATTTTGGAGATTATACATGGATAGCTGATTTGAAAAAAAGGTAGTTATTAAATGTTATTTATTTAGAGAGTGATTAATGAAAACAAATATTTAGGCGGTTTAAGAATATAATTAGAGAATTGTTTAAATATCAGTACAAACAACATCAGTTCCAAAACTATGAACATTTCTTTTTCCAGGACTGAGATTTATAATGGTATATGTGCAGAACTTAGAAATTCATGCTGGTTAGAAATTTACTATTAACTGATGAATTTAAAAATTCTACTTTCCTACCTTTGAAATACTAAACTTGATCTGGAAAAAGATTGAAACATTTCTCTATAACTGAAAGGTGAAAAGGAAAGGTGGGACATAATTAAAAGCAATGTTTTTGTTATGCACAAGGTAAGCACTGTTGTGATTTATTAGCTTTCATGAACAATAAATTGCTCAATATGATATTGTTGTACACTTTATAAAAGTCAATAAACATTGTATTTAATAATTATTGTTGCATGCATAGGGATTCCTTATGAATTGAATGCACAAGTCTGATGAATAATGAACAACATTTATTATTATCACAACAAATAAAACAAAATGCTTAAATTTCTTCAGATATTCCTACAGTATTACAATATCTCACAGTAGTTATCTTTTAACTACTCCAACGTTCAACAGAACTTAATTCAAAACAGCTAGAGAAAGCTAATCCACAAATTCGCTACAGTCAACAAGAGCAGTTTTCTTAACAAACTCTTAAAACAACAGCTAACTGAATTGAGAGGTTTTTGTCCCTCCTTTATAAGCTTTTTAAATCATGCACGAGATTTTCTAGCAATTTCTTAAAATCAAAAATAGATATTTATTTATTCAATGTTAAATGCACATGCTCTTGTATTTTTAATTTTCCGGCTTAGCTTTCTTTTAATGTTCGTCACGCGCTGCACTGCATGGGAAATAAATTTTATTTGTAATTCTAGTAACATTAGCTATTTAAATACCAAATCCGTAGTACTGCCCCCTTCCCAAGGACTTCATGTCCCGGACAGTACAATGCCTGGATAGGAAGCCAAACTTACAACTATGGCATAAATACAATAATAAACATTACATTACAATAACAAACAACATGAACAATAAATGCAATAACTAACTTAAACAAATAAAATACTAAATGCAAATCAAATTAAATACACATTTAGAAACAAACAGGAACATGGTCTTGCACTATTTACAATTGTTTACACTACATACTATGGCCATAGTAATGAGCTAACCTGTCGTAATGAACAACTTTAGACTTAGAGTTCGATGACTTATGGATCCGAAACACGACATCATTCAGCCTGTTTAGGATCGTGTATGGACCGCATATCCACCCACATGAGTGATGTCACATTTCTCTATAACGATTTAATATAATGATTTAATGTTTATTTTGGAATATTAAGTATTACTCTACTGTTTTAATGCCTACCAGAGGCCGAGCGGTAAAGTCGCTGAACACTGGTAGTTCGGTTCGAATCCTGCAAACAGGCTGGCTGCATGGGTGTTTTCGTGGTTTTACCCATGTGTAACGTGTATACGAGCCAATTTTCCTTAGAAAGTCCTCCACGAAGGCATCCCTCCCCTTAGGCAGATAGCCCTCGAAGCTTTGCCCTAATTAAATAACCTAACCTACTGTTTTAATACAAAATTAGACCTAGTCAGATGGAAGTTATTGATGGCTGGAAGATGCATGTAAAGTGTGATTTACAAATTTTTCTGCATATTGATAATCAGAAACTTTTAAGTGATAATGACTTAAATCACCTAATGTATAAAATGTACCTGCGGGAATTAAACCCAGTGAAGTTAATGTTAAGTTAGTGAAACCAAGTGCTAATTTGTGTTAGTAATTAATGCAGTAAATATTTTGAATCAAAATGCCATCAGTTACCATTGCAATGGTACTTTCTTGACACACATAGTGTGTGTCAAGAAATTCTTAAAATATATTTCATACATATCTATCTATTTTCTATATCTATCTGAATATTTACAGCATTATTAACTGTGATTTGATTTCTTTACTGGATTCAATATGCTTTCTTAGAAATAAACTTCATTTTATTATTAGAACGTAAAGAGTATAAAGATGAAAAAGTGTGTCCATTCTAATGAACATATTGAAGTGTAAGTTAGCTGTGAAACTACTGAAGTTAAATGAAGAACACATTATTTAATAAGAACTGAATATATTTAAGATATGCTACCAGCTCTGATATTTCAAAACTATTGTATATGCTTATCTATGAAGATTAAATCACTATTAACTGAATCACTATTCTGGTAAAGCATATATCCTATTTGGAATTTCATTGCTCAGTATAAATTCTTAGAAAGGAAGTTCATTGTTTTGCTGAAATGCAAAGAAAATAATACTGAATAATTGGAAGTGCTTAGTGTAATAGACCTACTGAAATCTAATTTAGCTATAAAACTGCAAATGCTAAATGATGCTGAACATAATTTAGCAAGAAGTGAATTTAGTAAGATATGTTACCAGTTACGAGATTTCAAGACTATCGAAAATGCCTAACAATGAGGTATCATTACCGCTCTAAGGTCTGACGCTGAATTTAATCTAATAAGTATACTTTTATTTCCAGGAAACGTACCTTCAAGTGAATTGCTTGAATGTGTGTTTATAGTTCTTTACATGTAGTTAAATACAGTAAAACTTACATAACCTAAAACTGAATGGATTAAAAAAAATTTAGCTTAAAGTAACATTCAAATTTTACATTTTTACATATTAAAGTCTGAGTCTGATTACCTGGAGTTCCACCGATGATTGCACTCGATAAAATATGTCTTGAACCGATAATTTTTTTTTGAGAAAAAGCATTTAATATTGAATTTCTTACATTATTTTTGACTGTGAAGTTTGTGCATTTAAAAAATCTAATGAGATGCAGATTATTATATTTTCATTTATTTCCAAATTCATTAAAAGTATTTTTTTACAATTTACTGCCTGATTTTTTAAAACATTATGAGTAATAAGTAATTATTGTAAATATGCTATGTAACATATTGTGATCTTTGTATTGAAACAGAACCGTAGCTAGGGTTTTCAGCGCCCAAGGACAGCTGAAAATTTTGCGCCCCCTTCTATGTGCCAAGAATAGGAAATATTTCATTCTAAAATGGCATAATATCGAACTGGCGCCCCTAGATACTGCGCCCGGGGACAGATGTCCCCCCCACCGCAGCTACGCCCCTGTATTGAAACAACTTTATATATATAAGATATCTATGAGTTAGGAATCAACTCATGGCAATTGAAATTGAATTGTTAGTAAGAAATTAATGATAATAAGACGCATTGCTGATGTATCTAATAAGATGTATTATTGATGACAGTACATAAAATTAATCAAAACTGTAAGATATATGGTTAAAAGGTACTACAGTCAAAAGTCGTTAATCCAGACTCGTCGGGACTTCGGCGATTCCGGATTATAGACCATCAGTTTAAATCTGCTAAGATGGCATGCAGAAATTATAAAATTAAAATTATGAAATAAAGAGCAATTTTGATCTAAATGGTATCAAAATTTACAAAAAAAGAAAAAAAAGAAAAAAAAACTTAATATTTGTTTACTTTATTAAACATTTCTTTCAACGCGCGCATGCGTACAGCATACATTACGCATAGTCAAAATTAGAAAATTGAACCAGAAAACTATTTGATTTGTATTCGTGATATTTATAATGAAGAAGAATTTGATTTAAATCATATCAAAGACGGAGTACATCGAGATGAAATACTACATTTAGTAAGGAATTATAAGCTGAATAAAATAAAAACATCTGCCTTGAAGATAAGGATAGTGCTGACAGATCAACTTCCAGTTCATTCGTGCCGCGTTGTCCCCCCCCCCCGCAGAGCAGCGTGAAATTGATAAACATATTTCGAAATGGTTAGAGAATCAAAGGATATCTCTTTACCCATTTGTTTCCAGCAATTCCACTTTTTGTTTGATGGACATCGAAACATGCTTTCGATCCTTTGGTAGCTGCAGAATCGGAAGTTCTTTTTGACATAATCGAAAGTTCAAGCTAACTTTTATAAAATTGCCCTAACAGTCTGCAAAAAATAATAAGCCGGATTCACTTACAAGGTTAAGGAACAACGCAATCTGCAACATTAACTGAAATAGATAATTAAATAATTTTAGCTTAGCTTATACTGTCTGTTATACATTAAACGCGCGTGCGTGAACGTATTATGCGCATGCGTTAACGCATTATACGTTGACGCATGCGCAGAAAGTTTGTAGCTTTAAGGTCCAGATTATGGACGTCCGAATTAAAGACTTTTGACTATATATAAAAAGCAAACAAATGAAAGAGACAGATATTTATCAGTTCAGTTCCATATATATTCTGTACAGTAATACCTCTACATTAATTAAAAGGTGGGACTAATGAAAAGTACAACTTCACATACAGAATATGTCAGAAAATACATATAGACTTTAACAGATGATATCTATATATTGGTTTCAGAATTCTTTATTATCTAATCTACTACATATTATAAAGATTATATAATATGTAGATATTATAAAGATTATATTATATAATATACTACATATTATAAAGATTTTAGATAATCTTTATAATCTATCTAAAATCTTTATAATATGTAGTACGATATTTCCTTAACATGTTGGTTCTCTCACATATATTTGACATATGACAGTGAACCAAAATGGATTTAAAGGACATTGAGGGATGTTGTGTAGTATAGTAAATCGGTTAGGCTACAGGTCCTTCATCAAAAAATTATGGCAGGATGTGCAGCAGTCCGCTCAGGCACATCGACTAAACATTATTTAAATAACTGCTCAGTGTTGTGCTATGTGTCTTGCTGTTAATGGCTAACCGCTGTAACACTTTGAGCAATTTAAGTAACTGTACAGGTACATATTCAGGAATATTATATTAAACCTAGTCTAACCTTTGATACGTATGATTTAATTAACCTCTAATTAAGTTCAATACTAAAGCACAAGATTTTTTTTATTAATTAAAGTGTGTGCATTTTTCTGATGGGCCCTTTATAAATATAGATTAATTTTAGTTTAATAGCACCGATGGCCAGACCACCAGCACCCGAGTGGTAAAGTCACTAAACACTAGCAATTGAATCCGAGTTTCAAATCCTGTCAAATGCGCTGGCTGCATGGGCGCTTTCATGGTTTTCCTCAGGTGTAATGTGTATAAGAGCCAGTTTCCCTTTGAAACTCCTCCACGAAAGCATTCCTCCTGTTAAGCAGATGGCACGCGAGTGCTTTGCATAATTAAATAATTAAATAAACCAAACCAAACCAAGGACCAAAAAAATTTTTTTAGTGGAAAGGCATATGATAAAATATTTAGTTTTCATTCAAGTCAATATAAAATAGGATACTTATGTATTATTCCACCGATTGATTGCGGAAATTTGGG